TATTCTCTTTTGCACAAATTGTGGTATAATCAATTATACAATAAAAAATAAACACATTCGTTTTCGAACTACACAAATTGTTAAACTGATTTGTACATATCTTGTTTTAGTTTCAGGTTATTCGGGTAGCAAAAAGGAAGTATATTAGATTAGAATAGATAGAGCATAACAGGAAACTTTAGCCATATGAAAAGTGCACGCGCATTGATGTTATATATTTTTTGCCTACATATTTTTTGATCAAATTGGATCGGCACCAGTATTTTAGATTTCGAGTTTAACTGGAAGAAGCGTTTGGTCTCAAAAATGCTATTATTAAGAGTTTTTATTCTAACATTAATGATAAGGAGGATACTACAATTCTGAATAACATGTAATCCTAATACGAGCTTACTGGGGATTAAGGATCGGGTGCAGGGTATATTATAAGATACAATTATAATTGTAAAACTATAGTCGACTATGCATTTGTTCTGACCACTGCAATAATTTTGGGCTGATATTTTGTAAGTTATTGGTAAATTTGTACACATGTGATCTATACTGTTTTTTCATTTTGGTTATTTCATAGTATAGTACCGAAGAGGTTAACAAATCTATCGAGGAAACGTCAAAAATGGTGTTTTTTATCCAGCGGCCTGAACGTAGCATTTCCCGTCGATCACGATTTGGTCCGTAACATGCTAATTTTGACCTTTCCCTGGACAAAAAATAGTATATACACCACGACCGAGGGATTGGCAAGCCCGTATTGAAAACATTGAAAAAAATCATCCATGTTGAAAATTACACTTTCCACACGTCATATCGAAAAATACGGTGCGACACAGGTTCGAGAAAGATATTCTTTTCTTGTGTACCTTTCCTTATAAACGGCACACGAGGCAAGAATCTATTTTTCCGCACTTGTATCGTAATGTACTATTCTACAAGGAAAATTAACCAAAGAACCTGACGAGAAGCTCAGGAAATATTATAGGGAAACTTTGTTCCATCGCATGGTATGGTTCAGAAGTGATTCACAAAATTTTATTGATTGTTCCTACGACAGCACAAGTGATACTAAATTTATAAATGTAACAGAGTAGGATATAGTAGAATCAAATGTATAAATGATCCAGCGTGTTTAAGATATGCTGGTCATCATTCACCATAGTAAAAATCAAGTTGAGTGTACTAATATCATTGTAGAAATAACAAATTTAATAGAAGCAAATCTACTAATCATATTACAACTCATAATAATTGTGGTTATTTGAAATACTTGATAAATATAAAAGAATTAATCAATCACAGGATCATAGGATCAACTCATACATTTCTAAATTCTTCGATTACAAAGGAAAAGTTCCTAATATTCTGAGCAACAATGAAAATGAAACAATAATTACAACTAATAATAGAGACTAATAACTTATCATCACAAGTAAGTAACAGAAGGCTCTAAATCAGAAATACGAGATAAAAAAAACGAGATGTGAAAGTAATTAAGAGAATTGGAAATAATAGAAGGTAATCAGGACTTCGTCTTTCAAGATGAGCTTGAAGTCAATAATATTGAATCCATGTACAAATTATATCTAAAAAGTAAGTTCGTTATTTTTTATGTATACATATGTGGGATGGTTCCGAGTGAGGATGAGTGGTTTATGAATAATATATTTATTTAACTTTAATTTACTGTAATATGGTTTTGTCAAAACCAATCAGAGACCTGTCCTTTCCTATGCTAAGGGCATAAGCGTAGAGACGAGTATAAAAACAACTACTCGTACTGTAAAAATTAATAAAATCTTACACATAAAAAGTTTAAATGAAAATCTAAATAAATTGGAAATATTTATTAATAGTTTGAAACATAAAAAATCAACCAAAGTCTATGACAAGTTTTCTTATATTTTGCAATTGAGTTACACAATATATTTTACAATTAGAATACACGTTTTTGTATAACGACCTTTTATATACTTTATTTTATCGACACGGAATAAAGCATCGCGTAAAATTTATTTCAAAATGTGTGGCATCGTCTATCATATGTATTGAGTCAAGCTTCTATATTCTATAGATCAGCAGTTGATTTATTAAGTAGCTTTCATCTGTGATAAACGATTCGTTAATAAAGCTTTACAAAAAAATTTTCAAAGTTGGAGTAAAACATGTTTGGTAGTGAGTGGCGCAAATATTTTGTTTTCGACTGATCATGTATAATTTTTGCACGTGTGTATCTACCTTGTTGGAAATAATATTTGCGTAAAACAATTGCACCCAGTTATTTGTAGTTTCAGATAGTTTATAAACATCATATTTCAGGCACGTACAACAGTCATTAACGGTTTTTTTTCTACCAGTAATAATTATAATACAGTTATTAACAGTTATAGACAATTTCCGAAATGCACTTTTTCATCATAAAAAAATGTGCTATTAATAGCAGTTATGAACAGTTGTTAAAACAATTTCAAAAATGAAAATAATTATTTACAACTATATAATAAATAGTTAGTTATATGTCGTAACTAAGAATTATTTAAAACACTTATATATTGTTATTATTAATTAATTTTTTTCACCTACAAGTTCTTTTTTCGTGTTCGGTATTGGAAAATGAATAATTACAATTTAACTGCAAATAATAATTTCTAATTTCTTATTCCAATATTTAACTTGTGATAACTGTTGTTTGCAGTTATTTATAGTTATTTGCATCGATTATTTTTCAAAATAAATTTGTTTTGATGAATAAAAATGTAAATAACCGTTAGTAACTGAAAAAACCATTATTATTTAATAATGACAGTTTTTAATAGAAAATAACTGTTTATAATCGTTATACGTGTCCAAAATTAGACAATTTATAAACGGTTATAAATTATAAATAAATGTTAGCAAATGTTACTAATGATGATTTTTATTTATTATAATTTTATGCATGAATTATTTCCAACAATGTAGAGATTGACATATAGGAGGTTCATCAGAACGATAACTTTTAATTATTTATGAATATTTATCATTCTCGTGTACTGAAATCTTCTTGGGATATGAGCCGACTGTAGGTGTCTAGATACTGTCTTGAACTCAATGTCTTTTTGATCAATGCACAGATACTGTAATTTCATTTGTGACTATAACGAAATACCAATTTTGAACATCGACAGTTTCGCTATTTCAATTGACACACCTGGCACGTTGTCTTATGAAATAAAAATTGGCACTTTACAGTGTTACAATTGAAATTACAATTTTTAGGCACTATTTCTTTGTAACCAAAACAAATTGGCTTCAAACGGTCTCTAGACACTTGCAGCTTACTCGCATGCTAATTTTATCTTTTGTGTGTCGTAAAACCTGAAAATTCGAACAGAGCTTTTAATATTCCATAGAAACGGTAACGAGCACATGATATACCCAATGAGATTCATGCGAAATTGCTATCGAAGCTTGGCTGAAATTTTTCTCTTATTTCAGTAAATTCATTAACTCTCGAAAGAATTTCGAATTGTTTGATATGAGCGTGTGCAGCTTATCTTTCAAAATGACGCATTGAATAGTCACGTAAAAAACACCACTAGAGCGCCAATTTAGAAAGCGTTCAGTGGTACAGTGAAAGGAATCGAGAAGAAGCTGTTAGCAATATTCTATGAATGAACTATAAGTTGAGATCGCAAGGCTTCAAAGTGGTATAGTGTATAATAGTAGAGGTCTATAGCGGAAAGAAGCATGCGCAAGTTGGCGTCGGGATCGATAAAAAAAATATTGCGAGGCAAAAAAATATGATTGCCGATTGCGCGACAATTCAGTACCAATGAGCATTTTTATATATTGGTTACACACTGGTCTACTCCTCCGGTTGGTCTCGGCATCTGTCTGTCGTACGTCTGACGAGAATTTTTTTCTACTTTCATTGCGATCGATCGATCGATGAACATAACTATGGAAGTAGAGCCGTCTGGTTATCAGCTACCAGGACCAGCTCTTCGTAGATGTTGGTCACCATCGATCACTATTCAAATTATTAGCAACGTCCTTTCTCTTCCAAAGAAACTAAGCCATATTCCCATTAAGGTCTAGACTCAAATCATAAATGAACACCTTTACTGAGAATCTACATCAACAGAAAAATCGTGATATTAATAATAAAATGAAAAAAGGACGTTTCATTGTTGGTTATAGTATTATAGGCGATGTAAAAGCTAGACAATCGTTCTTACGCAAATGTACACAGCAGTGACAACTAAGACAGTCATAGTGATGCATTGTATCTGATAAACATTCCATGACTGTCGCGGCTATAATAGTGTCTCTAGATCTTTCATCCGTAGATCTTTATCCTTATTACAAGATGTGGTACATAAATTGTAAACGAATACATCCATAAAATAAGCCAATTATTACTCTGGACATTTAATTTTTAATTGATTAATAATTTTATCGCAAAATAGTATATGTAACGATAAATTTCGAAAAAAATCTTTCAGTTAATTTTTAATATACATTACCACTTTTGATTTTGTTTTGAAAATTTATAGGTATATTGAACAAACAGTTGCGTACACTAACATTTCTTTTTATTATTAGGGCCTTTGTTATTTATAATTAAGAATTCATAAGTCACACATACAATACAAAAATATGAAAACTTAAATGTTTGAGAATAACTTACAAAACGAATCAACTATAGTATTTAAATGTAAAATTAAATAATTAACAATTATATACAGGTCCAAGAGTAAAATATAATTTATTAAACCCGTTATATAATTTATTAAAACTGCTTTCAATTCTGTTTTGTTGACTTCACCATTATAAACAAAGTGACATTATTTCAATGCTTAAAATTATAAATTTACAATAGTACGAAGCTATTTGTAGCCATGACTAAATTAGTTGTTTAAAATCTGTACATATTAATAATAGGCACAAAAAAAGAATTTTGATTAGTACTAAAATGCACATTAATAAAATTTATAATAAAATATTTTTCCATGAATCTCAATTTAAATTGATAAACCAAATACTGATACAATACAGTACATTGTCTTATTTTCCCAACGAACAGTACAACTCCCGTCTGTAGAGTTATCCCAGTAACAGGAACTAGCTGTATGTAGACCAGCTCCATTTTTCTGCATAATTGTACAAGTAACAATGTACTTATATGGTTTTGCCAGCTTGGTCAAATTTCCCAGTACACTTTCAACTACATTTGAAGTCCATTGATTCACTTTGCCATGAGAATAGACATTTCCTCCTATTGACACCTCAATAGCTTCTTTTATAATTTTGCTAACATGGTCTACAACAAATTGACTTTCTTCTTGCATGTCCTCCATTTTAAACTTTTAGTGAGACTTCTACAATTTATTGAAAATTGATTAAACCTTCCAAAAGATTATCTTCATCTAAGGTTTAGAGAATTTTCTGCAAAATATTACAAATGTTAGAAAGTTTTCTTAACAGAATATAATAGTTATAGTATTGGAGATGCACATTACTATAATTGTGAAATTTATAACCTCATTTTTCTAAAATTGTAAAAATATTTAATTGCAAGATATTTAATAAGAATATTTATTAACTTCTATATTTATTTTGATTATATATTTAGAATACATTTTTAAGGTTATAAAATATGCCGAGAAACGTACATAATTACGAGCAACATTAAAACTACTTACAGCATTTACAATCACCAGTAAATTTGAATAGTCTTCTTTTAGTAAATAAACTATAAAATTAATGAAATTCAAAGCATTGAAAGGACCATATACATCGAATGATTCTTGAATGATCAAACATTTACGTATATGTGAACGTAAGTAGGCGTATATGTTTGTATAATGCGTTGCCGCGATAGGTTACCTCTGTTGCCGATAACCACGCACTTCGCATGCGCAGAAATGTTGACCGCGCTGATTCAAACGAGTGTTCAAGTGCAATCATGATTTCAAATATAATGTTGTAGCGTATTAATTCCGCTATTGCATGCTACATTAAATTTCTTTGAAGTATGTCAGAATATAATGCTTAATTTAAATAAACAAAATTATGTAAAGCTTAATTATGCAAAATAATTCATCTAAGTATTCAATAATTTAATTTAGTTTTATAACTATATTCGATTAAAAATTTTCGTAGCCTAAAAATAAAAATAATATATAAAATATGTGGTTAATTAGAATCTTGTGTGTAGTCTACATTCAAACGATACCGGATACGTATAGCTCTAGATAGTTTACATTCTATACTCAGATATGTAAATTACGTAACGATTATATATAGAGTTTCGAGCAGAATACACAGTAGTCACAGTACTCGAGAAGTCGCTCCACACAAGCGCAGAAATGAACCAATCTTTTCTGATATCGAAATGACGGAGGTTAAACATTGTGGTCAATCGGAGCAAACAAAAATTTTATGTGTGGGCTTAATTTGTGTTGATATAGTCCAGTTGTGTGAAGAATATGTGTCGGAAGATTCAAAAAAAAGGTTTGTATTTCATTATAAAAATTGAATATTAATGCCAATTCTAATGTTTTTATTGGCATATACGTTTTATGGAACTTGGCATTTGAAAATTTGATACACCAAGCGGAAGAACGCATTAATTCACAAGCAAATTATAAGAATTAATCAATTTGATGTCGTTTAATTTTAATAAGCGGTGTGGAAACTCGTCTTTCTGTATGTATAGGTGTATCGATTTGAAATACCAGCGAGGCGGCAACGCTTGCAACAACTGCACGGTCCTATCTCAACTCGGATGCCCGGTTGAATTTTTAGGAATTCTTTATAATGATGAATTATTCAATTTTATACAACAAGATATGAACAAAAATAACATTGAATTCTCTAGTTGTCCAATAATCGAATACGGTAGATTGCCGATTTCTACAGTCATGCTAAGCGAGAAGACAGGGTCGCGAACTATTGTGCACTATACTGCAAGCAATAAAGAATTGTCTTTAAATGATTTCAAGAAAGTCAACTTAAATGATTACAGCTGGATTCATTTCGAGGTGCAACAGAAATTCTAGCATTTTATTACTAACGATTATTCCAAAATTTGCGAATGAAATAATTTTCATATTTACAGGGTAGAAACATATCAGAAGTTAGTTCTATGATGGAGTACATCAAAAGTTACAATGACTCTTTGATTCGTAAACAAAATGAGACTTCTAATAAATTGTTATCAATTACCACGAGCGTAGAATTAGAAAAGCCAGACGATGAACTGTTGCGGTTATTAAAAAACGCAGATATCGCTTTTATTTCTAAAGATTTCGCGCGAAGTCGAGGTCTCAACAGTATGACGGAGGCGATTGCGAATATTAAACGATATCTGAAGCCTGGGTAAATTAAATCGAAAGCGTGTGACGTATTCAAGAATGCAATATATCTCTGCTTTAAATTTCAGCGCAATATTATTAAGTGCTTGGGGTGATCAAGGAGCAATGGCGTTGACTCCTGATGGAAGCATTGTTCATTCACCTATTTATCCTCCGAATAAAATAGTCGATACCCTCGGAGCAGGTGATACTTTCAACGCTGGAGTTTTGCATTACCTGAATAGAGAAAAATCTAAATGTATAACAAATTGTACCAGTGAATTTGCGTGTACAAGTGAAATCATTACCACTGATATTTTACGAAAAGCTATTCAGTTTGGATGTCAGATTGCCGGATTGAAAATTAGCTTCCGTGGTTTTGAAAAGTTGGGTGAATTGTTGAAAAGGTCTGGTATACCTGTGTAAGCTTGTTTTTTTTATACAAATGAGTGTTTTATTTTCTTAGTTTAAATTTGATTACATATCAGTACTTTAAATATAACTGGTGCATTAAATTATATGTTACTAAATAGTTTCGTTAGTGTTTGTTAATATCGAAAATACAAAAATTTCAGAAAATATTTATTTGAATTAGTTGGACAACAATTTTGTTTAATTTCGAATCTGTATGATTATATATATTATTTTCAACTGATGATTTGATTTATGCACACTAAATTAACAACAGAAAATATTTTCAATATTCTATATACACATAGATAAAAGCATCCTCAGTTTGTTTGATACTTCATCCATGGCAACTTTTGTAAAATTATTAACTTGCATTTATTTATTTAAAATTGATAACTGAAGGAAAAATAAGTGCATACATATTTATCGACAAAAGGTACTTCATCGTTAGCTCGCTAGATGACTACATGGTCTCAACTATAGCTTATTTAGCAGTGGCAGTTAGTGAGCCAGCTGATCGCTCAGTAAGTAGTATAACAGTTTGGCAGTAGTGATTCAACGCATGGAGGGAGCTGTTTCCGTTCGATTGTACGCAAACCCAACCATTATTTTTATCGCCTTATCATTGCCGAACTGTCTTATCACTGGTCAACAAATCAAACTGCCAAGATTCATTTCTGTGCTGTTTTTATAGAAGTCGTCGGAGGTTATATAGACAACGATGATTTCTAACATTTATGAGAGGATTGTTGGGGTTTCGCCACCTCCAGAACCAAACAAACCAAAAATCCTTTGTGTTGGACAAAGCTGTCTTGACATTGTACAGTTATGCAAAAATTATCCACAAGAAGACGCCGACGTGAGGTATGACTTTTCACAAATATTATAACTTGACTCTGAATCATGACAAAGTCGTGTCAAAACATTGCTACAAAAGATTCGTATGACTTGCTATTTCTTGTATACAGTTAATTCTTTACGTCTAAGATTTCCTTTCTTTCATGAAATGCAATCAACTTGATTCATTAAAAACTGATCGAAGTAACGAATATTGCAAAATTGAATTTTATTTCAAGATATTGAGTGTTGAAGTTGAAAATATAATTTATAAATATCTTCAATCATACGTGCTTTTATAATCGATGGATTAGCAGAGTGTTATATTTTTATAAGAATGCTTCATTCTATTAAATCGATTTTCAAATTGAAAAATAACTCAGTTATATACAATATAAGAAAGTGCGGAATAGGGTCGGGAATTTTTGAAATTTGATATTCCGTATCCATGTTTGTGAGCAGTGTAAAAAGTTATTAATAATATATTATTAAAGTTCAATATTTCTATAATCTGAAAGTTATTTCAAATCCAAATTTGATTATTAAGTCGTATATTTTTAACAACGGATTCATTCGCATGATATTTTCGCAAGATATTTAAAAATCCGTTGACATTTTTTGCGACTGAAAATATTTAGTATTTTATTTTTAAAGAAGGCGCATTGTTCCTTGAAATTTATTTTCAATTGAAATTAAAAATGAGTTCGACGCCAATTATGGCACTTATTATGGCGTTTGATCATTTAATTGGAATTTTTTGAGTAAATAAAAATATGGAATCAGTACATTATTTTGTGCAGTTATTTTTACTAAGTTAAAAATGAAAATATTGACTTTTTTGTCAAATTTAGTAAGTTTCTCTTTTAATTGATTTCAAATTATTTTAAATGTATAACAGTAGAAAGTCATTTGTAATTTCATTAATTTAAATGTATTTTTAGCATAAAGACTTTGTTTACCTTCAATAAAATTCATTTTTCTGGGCTCATTCATGCATAGACCATTTACAAGAATGTATCATAATAATATAATTGAATTGCCGACGCATACGTGAAATTATTTTCGAGTGTGCTTATCAATTATGATCTCTGTAAATCTGTTTTAAAATTTTGCAGAAGCATTGACTTCAGGTACCAAGGAGGTGGAAATGCTTGCAATAGTTGTACTGTTATATCTCAGCTAGGACAATCTTGTGAGTTTTTTGGATACCTCAGCAACCGACAATTCTCCATGTTTCTACAAGAAGACATGCGGAAGCATAACATCGACTTTTCACATTGTCCAGTAACGTGCGAACATGAGTGTCCAAAATCGGTAGTAATATTAAGTATCAACACTGGATCTCGTACGATAATACACCATAATCCAAATTTTCCAGAAGTCACTTTAAAAGACTTTGAGAAGCTTAATTTAGAAGATTATAGCTGGATACATTTTGAGGCAAGCTGGTTTTACAAAATCGTATTACACTTAGTTGAAATGTACTTAAATATAATACTTTTATTTAGGGTCGTAATGTTGCGGAAATCGTTTTAATGATGCAGCATATAGAGAATTACAATAAGTCAATAACTCAAAAAGAAATTGAATCGGCTGATTCTTCTATCCATCATCTTCCTATTACGATAAGTGTAGAAATAGAAAAAATGAGACCTGACTTATTAGATACATTACCTTACGTCGACGCTGCATTTATATCTAAAGACTTTGCTCTAAGCAGGGGCTATGTAAATATGAGTGAAACATTAAAATGTATGAGTCTAGAGTCAAAAACTGGGTAAGTGAGTGATGACTCATTTTTAAGCAATTTATCAAAATAAATTCTAATTTGTATTTGTTGAAGTTATTTTAACTAATCAATGTTGGTTCAATGTTTAGAGCAACAATTTTCAGTGCCTGGGCAGATTTAGGGGCAATGGCACGAGCTCCTGACGGGACCATTGTCCAATCTCCTGCTTTCCCGCCTCACAAAATCATTGACACTTTGGGTGCCGGTGACACATTTAATGCCGCCGTCATACATTATTTAAACAAACAAAAGTTAGCTTATTATAAGAATGGCGATGATGTTAACAATCAGTCTACTAAAAACAATATTCAACATAATTATAACATTGAAAGTTCCGAAAAAAGTCAGACTGAATTCATTAATCGAGAAGTGCTTCAAAATGCTATTGCTTTTGGTTGTAGACTTGCTGGTGCTAAAATCGGCTTTCGAGGTTTGGATGGAATAAATGAAATTTATAAACATTTCATGCGATAGGAAAAAATTAGGATTGACGAATATTGTAAGAGAGAAAAAATCGATAGAAATTACAAAAGTCTATTGATTAATCAATGTTTCATTGGTCTTCCATTTATTGGATGCGCTAAAAAGTACAAAAAAGAAATTTTGTCTTGCCGCAGCAAATTCTGCGTTTATATTTATAGATATTCTTTGTAAATTTTTCTTTTCTCGTTAATATTTTAATATGACTCATCAGCCACCACGTGATATCGAGTGATATAAATTTATAAATAAGGCAATACATATACATGCATGTTGCATTATCTACAATTATTGATAAAAAATACAAAAACATACAAATATTATTGACGTGTCTGTGCGTGTATTTGCGCATGATACATAGTACAAGTAGGAAATTTGGAATAGCGAGTTACAATATTTATAAACTAACATAATCTAGCTTACTATGCCCTATTTTGATCCATGGGAAAGTACGTAAAAACGTTTAATGTTAATGACTATGTATTTACAATATGCCCCGAAAATCTAAACATTCAATTCGAAATTTTACTTGACTGCAGTAAAACAAAATTAATAAAAATGATCAGTTAAAACATCTATTATGTTGCATATAGACAAAGAAGGTTTCTAAACCAAAATATTGCTCCTAAATCTATTTTTATAGCGATATGAAAAAAACAACATTAAAAAAGCAAAACAGTTATTACATTTGACTTTGTCTTACGCGTAATCACAATGCACAAAAATGGCGAAATTTTGTTGACAATATGAAACACATTGAAAAAAGGAAACTAAGCCCAACTTTGTCGTCTGACATATCTGTACAATAAAAAAAGAACGATGCGTCGGGCAGAGCCACGGCCGAGTCAGTCTTACAAATGTAACAGTGCCTGTTGTTTTTTGCATTTTCCGTCAACTGACAACAAATATTTCGCATGCTACGAAACGTTCAATCGTTCAGTCGTCAGCAGCCACTCCACTGTCCAAGAAATCCTTGACTGATCGTGGCACTTTATCCGGAAAATTTCTGTAAATATATGTTTGTAACTATGACTTTGTAATTCTCCATACTAATAACATTTTAAATTTATATATAAGTTTTGATACTTTAACGTTTTTTTATTGTTTTTTGATTATTTGTAATTTAGATATCCAATTCAAGTAAAACAATGTTTCTTGGAAACTTGTGATAAAGAGGAATAAAATACAATTAATCAAAGCGAAACAAAAAGTGATATTGTATGAAAGTCAAAAATAATGTAAAAGTATTCATTAGCGTAAAGAAAAAAAATGCAACATGTCAATGCAAACCTTAACAAATAGTTGATGCCCAACCAGTGGCTGGGAATCGACATTTCTGGTATATTTCTTCGCTGTGCCATAACTATGTGTGCTGCTGCCTCCTGCGGCGGAACCACAGCCATGAGGCTCGGAAACCTGAAATTTTTAATTAAATAATGGGAACCCATTTGTTTAGTATATAATAAAATGTGACATCAAACGATAAAAATAGCACCGAGCATGCAAGGCGCACCTGGCGTCCAACATTCCAGTCTGCTTGCAAAAAATGAAATTTATTAATTTTTTTTTTTTTTTTTTAATCATGTTGGTGGAACATTTTAGAATCTTACAAATTTTATCGTTCATAAATTGTAAAATATTTTCTATTTTTAAGAAATAAATTTATGTTTTTTATCAGATTTTCATTTGTCCATTAATACACTATTCTCTCCAAAATAATAAATAAATAACTTACTTAATCTTTGGTTTCTTGCAAAGTCCGGTGTCTACCATATAGGGATAGATTGTAGTAAACTTTATATTAGAATTCGTTCCTCCACAAGATGAAGAAATTCTTAGTTCTTCGCTGATTGCTTCCATCATTCCTGAAAAGAAAATGAATAAGTTCATTTGAGAAATATTTCAATATAATAATAATAATAATTGTATTGTTAAGATAGATAAGAATAACGAGTGGTGTTGACGTATTATCTCCAGGTAATATCAATCTATCCGTTATAGCCAGTGATTAATTTGCTATTTACCTCTTACAGCAAACTTTGTTGCGCAATAAGGCACCAAATTGGTTAACCCGATGACCCCAGCCATCGACGACAAAGCTACAATGTGTCCGTGATTTTTCGCTAACATATCTGGCAAAAAGGCTTGTAGCATCTAAAAAATAAAAATCACGCGCTTAATCGATGACTCCTACACACATAATAACATACTTCTAAAAAATCATTGAATACTAATTTTTACCCAGAAATGAGCCATCACATTAATGTCGAACATTTTCTGAATCTCCTGGGGAGTATATTCCAAGAAAGGCCGACATGGCATGATTCCAGCATTGTTAAGGAGAATAGTTACAGTGCCTACTTCTTTTTTCACTTTGTCTGCTACTCGCATCACTTCGTCTCTGTTAGACACGTCACACCTGCGGACAAACAATACAGAACTTAGCTTGCGGAATAGAATCGGTCAGTTGGAAAACAAAGTATTAGCTCAAGTGACTTGTAACGATCATATGGTTTCACAATTTTAAGCCGATAATGATGTACGTGTATTTATAGAAAGAAACTGAACACTACCGTTGAAAATTTGATAGAGGCTTTTGACCTCTCTCTATGAAGAATCGACGATTTATTAATATTCCGAACGTCCTTGCAGCATAATACGACTTCTTTTTTATAAAAGTTGACTTGAGGCGTACGTTAAACTCATTTCGCGTTGTTTGACCTTTTCAAGCCGAGTGAAAAAGATGATTTTGAAATGGGATGTTGTTTTAACTGTTGTGAAAATGATTTATGAAATACAATTTGCATTGATTATGATTTATAGAATAATAAACATAAGTATATACTTTAAAGACTAATTGTGGTTGAGTGTTATAATAGTTTGCACTGTCAAGTCATCCATACTTTTAAAGATTTTAGTTTCAAGGAGTAATTCAAATTGGCACGCACGTGGATACAATTGACTGATTGAGAAACCAATAAATTTACATATATAAGGATCATTCATAGGCAGACGACCTTGTGCATATTAGAAGTAGATAAAATCTCCTTTTATACAAATGCTAGTCCAGTAAATTTTTCGAAGCGTGTGTGGGAAGATAACCGTGTAAATCGATCAACGGACTCACTTGTATCCATGAGCGGCAGCGCCACCCATTTTCTTGATCTCGGTAACGGTCTCCTCATTGCTAACGTCATTGATATCCCAACAGACGACCGTGGCCCCCAAGGAGGCGTACTTTAAGGCCAACTCCTTTCCAATGCCATGACCCGCTCCAGTAACCTGTCGCACACGCGTGTTTATTCATTAATATGACGAGCTCTGCGTGCGTGTACTCTCACTTTCTTTCCCGCCAGCTCGAAAGTTCAGCGTATACACTATTGCGTGAAGACGTCGTTAACCAAAGCGAGTTTTCGCTTTATTCTGCTGCCAAAAGATATACTACTTCGAAACTTTTGGCTTTCTTATAGCTATAGGTTTTTCGACAGATCGTTTGCTCATACTACCGATCAGCTTCGCAAATCAAAGCATATACTTATAACAATGAGTTTAAAATGCAAACCATTATCGCGTATAGCGTAATATTAAAAGCTCTTAATTTTTTTTATGCTCAAGCGAAATTTTTTTCTTCAATTACCGTAGTTTCATCGATCAGCTTTACTTATTTTTGAATGTTAACCATATTTGCTTTATAAAGAATTCGACCGTTACGATATTATCGATTCATTGATAATACATATGATCGATCGTTGATAACGGCAGATAATATTTGACGATGTTTAATAAAAATTAATTCGAGAAACACTGTTTTTTGCTTTGGTTATTGGTAAATTCAAGTTTTTATCGTTCGAATAATTAAAAATAAGCGATGAAAAGTTCAGCGGTATAAAATTAATGATGTACATACGTTTAGGGTCTCCAGTTTAAATTCGACAATTTGAATATAAAGGAAGATAATATATTTTACACAATGGCCATTAAAATCAGCTTTTTCAATTTCTTATCATTAGACTGTTATCGCAGAGCTTTAAACTAGAGTAACTAAGAATAAAAGCCATTATTTTATAGATATTATCAGCTTGTGATAGACTGTATAGACAACGTATAAGGCAAAGTCCATAGAGGGTCGATGACGTACGAATGTCTTATTAAGTGAACGATTTTATTGACTATAAGCTATAAGTAAATTTGCCTCGCGGGTCGACGTTCTCCCGCCACTTTTTTTTCTCTGTGGCTTGCTTGACTCACCAATACGATCTCACCGGCCACGCTCTTCTCGTCCACTGGGAAGAAGAATCGATAGAAACCCTCAATTGCATAGTAGACCACCTTTAGCAGCAACACCAATAGGTCTGCGAGTATCAGCGCCCCATCATATGCTTTCACCATGACTGTTCTGCAATTCAACGGCATTTTTATTTATTTTTATACGTGTGTTTGTATTATGATTTCAAATAATATATATCTACTTTTTTATTCTTACAATTAATTTTAGCAAAAAAAATATTCGCAACACAAACATTCCTTTTACAAATATTGTTTTATTCGGTTGCAAAAACTTGAATTGACATGCTGCTCGGTTGGATTTTCAAATTAATCATATTGCAAATTTTCTGATGAGGTTACGACGATTTAACAAGTTTTTTTATGCTGTGAGTCTTTGAAATTTCTTCTTGTACCAGTATTTACTCGATGAATGATGAATTGACAAACAACGAAATTCTACATTTTATCGACGAAACAAATACAAAATCTTTTTTTGTTTTTTCAAAAAGCAAAATGTATGACATCTCACGAATGGTCTCGTAAAATTATATAACGCTTGAATGCAACACGCAAGAACGATGCAATGTATGGCAAGGACATTTACTAGTAAAAATAAAGGTGATCGAGATAATAAAAAATATTGTCATTTATTAAGTTATCGCATATCAACGTTCACATACATTGAGCATCGATAACAAAAGAGTTATTTTTATTGAATCAATTTCCAAATGCAATAATACAGCTCGACTTCAATTCATTTAAAGCAGTTGCGAAAAGTTTATGTCTCCAAAAGTAGTTTCACTATTAGCAAATGTACATTCTACAGGTTTGGAGACTGACACGACCGATTTTCTAACTTTCAAAAGAAAATAGATTGCACCTTTTACTTAGTTGCTTGATCTTGATTTCGGATATGAAGGTAACTTACTTTATCATCGTTTCATTATTAATTCTAATTGCAAAATTTATTGGTGATTAGAAAAATTGAAGCTTGATCGTATGTGCCTTTAGATAAACGCCAATGAAATATCTGGAAGAACCAACAATTCAGAAATGTACAAATAAATAACGTTAAACGGTATGTCGTTCTTTGACGTCTTATAATTAAAATGTTGAGAGCAATATATTTTTATAATTTACTATATTCTCTTTACGGTGTTACCTATCGACATTGTCTAGAAAATGATTAATTAGGAAAGAATTCAGTTTAAAAACAGAAATCCTATTACTATTACCATTTTTGTCTGGATGAAGCTTTCGAGGGTTTCTCAAACTATAATGAAGTCGAAACTCCATTAACCATTTGAATAAATATCTAAACTTCAAGAATATATAGTTCGCGCATCAATATTTTACTTCAGTGTTTTCGAAATAGCGCCTGAAACGCTAAATTTTCATAAGCTTTTTCACGTTGGAAAATGGTTCAAAAGACTTCAAAAATATTTACATATATTTTCCTAGACTAGTTTAAAGAACCTTTTATTTTTACGAAACATGTATTTTTAAATTGCAAACTCATTGCAAACTGAAACACCTTTTAAAACTCAATTTCAAAAAAAGAGAGAAAAGAATTTGCATTTTACTGGATTCTCTCGTAATTAATACATTTCTAAAAAATACTTAGTGAGTGGCACTAGAAAGAGCAAGTCTTAAATTTTTAAAATATATTCTTGTCAACTTTTGTAGTCGTAAATAAAATTAGTTAGAAGCCATCAAAAAGCGATGTATATCACGCTGTGACGTTTTCGACTGAAACGGGTTTTAGAAACATAATATTAACCAATTACAGAATGTTTTACACACATAGTACTAGGTAATTTAACTGTTACGTAAAGATATATACATATTTACGTGTCATGCCAAATATTTGATAAATGTAGCTGTAGAACACTTATAGTTAAGTTAGATTTACTAATACAAATGATAGTCGATATTTACGGTCCATTAGTGAAAGAAAGTTTAGAAAAGAGGATGAGTAAAAATTTGTTGAAACTATAGTAAATATAAGTATTATTTTACACTCTTGAAACTCGAAAGAGTGAATATATATTTTGTGATCAGTTCCGAGCTACGTGAATATATAGTTTACAGTCCTTGTACAACCAATACATTAACAAGAGCAATTATTGGAATCCTGATCAAATATTGTCCGAGTTTGTGTGCTTTTTCAAAGTGTATCTTTAAATTTTAAATGGCCAATGTTTTTTTTTCTTTGACGTAAGTCAACAGACGCTGATTTCAAAATATTAATATTGGTCAACGACGTCAACTAAGCGGATAAAGATATTTGGAAATTCGGTAGCGCATCCACTGTGAGATAACATCCCATAATGAGAGCTTGAGTGACCTCAGCTGCAACGTAAGATTATCGGCAGTGTCAGACGAAAAGTAATGAACTAGCAACGACGATGATCGTAATAAAGTGTAAAGCATCCTGAAAGTCGCCATCACGAAGGAAGCGAACAAAATAAAGGCAATAATTAGATGTACACACGGAAACACGTTGTGATAATTTTGTGGCAACGGTTGGTAAGCGCTTGCGCGCTTAACAACAGCTACCGCCGCATCCGATTGCGCAACTTTTAGCCGCTCTATACGCTTCATTGAATTTAATGCCACTATATTTGCGCGAGTTGTCTCATTCTCGAAAAACGAACACGAGCATTGCAAGTGTCAGAGGTTGGGAATTCTTTTCTCGTAGTACAGTTCATTTGAAATCTCGAGTCTTACGTGTAAGATGCGAATATTTATTGAACGCGAGTGCATTATCTTTGGCTCTTCTTCGTTTTCTCGTATGTCGTCTGCTGCGGTTAGAAAAATCTTCCAGAGTTTTTTATTTGTTATTGCAAATGCACACAACGCGCAAAATAGAAACGCTCAATCAAATTTTTCATCTTGTTTACGTTTATTAGTTTTCACTCTGAAATCATTTGTTTTTCTTATTTGTTCTTATTCATTTATAGTAAATATATAATTATTCGAAGAATTACTGCACTGTATCGTAAATACTCATCGTAAATGTTTACAATTTCAAACTGATTATGCACATCCGGTTTTTTTCCCGCCAATAGGTTTGTCATGGCCATCTTTTTGAACGTTTCAATATAATTAATCTTTTTAATGACTGAGCATTGACAGCTGAAACTTAATTCATTCAACCAAGCAGACAAAGGGAAATAAAATTACCTTGAGAAATAAATAATAAATCGTTTCGGGATTGAAATTTAAAAAATACGAAAAAAAGACGTGCGAAGATGAAAAAACAGTAATGACGGTTCATCATCGCCAACGGAGATACCAGATGAACAGTTAACCTTGAATGAGAAAAAAGATATAACGCATTTATAAACGTCTGATTTACAAATTTTAGATCTCTGTGATGAATTTGCTCGATTATTTGTAAGCAGCTCACATATAGTAGACTGCACGGCTGACTGTGTCGAGACTATTAATTCGATTAATGTCCTGTTATTTTCTAGTAATCTAGTAGAATCTTCTATTTACCTATCAGACGTTGCTTAATTGATGAACCACTGAAGCTAATAAATTTTTAGTTCACATAGTATTGAAGGAGGATTTAGTAAATGCCTGATTGATTGTTAGCTGACGCCATTGAAATGTTTTTAATAGTACTTAGCATTCAAAAAGCCTTGAAGTGATGGAATTGGATCGTAATAAAAATGAGTAATATTCAAATTAGTGTTTCTATAATAAACATGCCGGAATTATTTTGTTACAAACTGCCAATAAAACTGTCGTAAAATTCTGAGATTCAAGTTTGTGCTTTTTATCTACGTAATTTTAGTACTTGTCGGTATAACCAATCGGAGTTTTCTAAAAGATTTAGCTATTTCATTATTAATTTGAACTTTATTCAAAATATTTCATTGATATAAAATAAATCATAATTGTTAAGATATCTATTGGAAATAATGATGATAAGTATTGTATAGGAAACTAAGTGTCAGGAATACTTTGACATATTAGACACACCTATTGAAATTAAAAATGTAAACAGCTGTATAGTAGTAACCTGTTGCGCAATAGGTTGGCTTAAAAACTATACATATTGAACGAGATAACGATTACTTGAAAAAAATTGAAACAATTAATAATTTTTCGTTTATATTATTTGAAAAAATGAACGCGAAAGTAATATTGAATATTTCGTTATTTACTTTGATTGCGCAATTCGTTTGACCCAATTTCTGGTGATTGTTCTTATTAAGACATTAATGGTCTATGTCGAAAATTACACATTATTCGAGTATATTACGTTTATATTCCACTTTCTTTATCTGCTTGAACTTTTTATCTATTTGAAATAGAAAGGAAGATAACGAGACGTAAACAGACATCGAACTTGCCACTACTGAACCGTGAAGTGCATTTATTTTCAAATGAAAGCATAAATTTTCAGTGTCTGTTTAAGTTTAAAAAATGCGATAAAATCGTTATTCAAACCGCAAAATAATTTGCAGAATTACTAACGCGAAAACTCGCTAAAGATAAATTAGCAACAACGGAGCCTACAAGAGGACGATCTTGCAACCGAAAGTGAATGGAGATGCAAGCGTGTGCATAGCTTGATATATATTGCGTGTGCTTTCGGTGTTACTCGGCGCCAGTCTCTCTCTCTTTCTCATAATTTTGCGCCTTTTACTTTTTCGAATCCAAACGCAACCCAAAGATGCAATTTTCGCTTTACTCGCTTCTTTTTACTTTCGCTCATCCTCCTTCGTAGCTCGCGCACTCAACGAAAGTATTCACGCACGCGCTATGTCACTATGGTACTGCAAGGCTTTGCAGACCTTTGAATATTATATTTTGTTCTTTCTTCTTTTTACTTTCTTTAAGAAAATGAATTTCGACTGAAGTTATCGTTATTTCCGCTCATTCCTTTCAGATGATAATTCTCAGATCTGATCTTGTTAAGAGCATCATTGAATTTCGCAACGCTATTACGCGCGGAGTGCGTGATAGCATAATGTACCGTCTATAGGCGCAACAATAACTTTGCCGCATTGTATATCGATGAAAATTGTGTATACAGAGTGAAAATACGTTTCTTATGTGCTATAGACGCTGATATAAATAGCATATTCTACCATAGTACGTTGAACCTTCGCT